AACATAGACATATGTCATAGTATTGATTGTGCGTCAGCTGACTATTAGTTAAAAAGTAATTAGAAAATATCTCTCTTTAACTGTATGAGGAAGAAATCTGAAAACTTCAATGATAAACTTTATGGCATAAATCATATCTATGATAAAATTTTCAGCGAAATGGAACTCTGAAACACTCCCTCTTGCATGCTGAGAAAAAAAACTATGAGTAGAGATTTTGTAGTCTTAGAAGTTGTCTACAGGGATGTACTATTTAGTTTTCAAAAATACTGCATCAATTCAGATTTTTTTTTCAAACTAAGATATATAAAATGAAAGTCGTTACCGCTTGGTGTGTTCATTCTATGTTCACAGTAATGCATCGGAAAAAAATCACTGACATTCTTGAGGGGCGTAGTTTGACTCTTTTATAGCAGAAATACTCCCAGTCATCACAGGTGAAAAATAATGGAATCGATGTATCTCCACAAATCTGTATATAATGTTAAACGAAAGATTGACCATCAACATGAGGGTGGGTGTGGGTCCTCTTACTTAACGTTCTTATACCAAATTTTGTCATGTCAATCAATCTACTATCTCAAGAATCATTAAATGTTCCAGTTTTACTTTTCGAAAAAAAATTTTAAAGTTAATAGATTAACACCATCGAACGCTGAATTTATTAACAATGAGATAATAATCATAACAGAAGTTTCATCATAACAGATAAATATTGATTCTATCTCGACAACATTGAAGGAAAAAGAAAGGTTTGTTTCACCAAAAGGGCAATGAAAGAATGATAATTCAATAAGTTTCATTTCGAGGCAAGGCATCTCTTCATTTGACTGACAATATTTCGAAACTATTTCTATTGATTCTTCATTAAGGCAATGTTTCCAGGCATACTTCGAAGAAAACCATTGCTTTTTGGAATACATCAAAACCTAAGTATGTTAAATCTGAGAAATGAATGTTCAAGTCATCAGATGCAAATCCCTTGGACTATTCAATCTGGAGGTATTTGAAATTACGGCTGAATAAACATAAAATTAAATCACTTTGGGAAATAAGTATTTCTTATACTTAAAACTTGTGGCTTTCATATGACATGCTGTACATGCAACATAAAAAAATTAGCTTTTGTGAAGGATGCCCAATAAATCACTAAGTAAACAAAAAATTGAAAATTTCCATCATATTTTGATTGAATTGGCTGATATTTTTTAACGATGATAAATGAGTATTCAAGGGTTATATTCATAAGAAAAATACTATTTAAAAATGTTTAGAACTATCACAAATACGGTTAAAAAAGAACTTCAACCTTTCATGAGTTATAAACAAACCAAATATATTTATCGTCTTGGCCGAATATATAAACGATGCCTCATCTTTTCTTGATTAATTCCTTACATTAGTGTCATTTGGCCTGACATTGTTTACAACAAAAATACGAGTCATGTTACTCCGTGTATTATGAAAGCTTCAGCATTAAACAAATAAGCATTTGTTGAGAAGATTGCAATATTGTTTTTCTTCCAAAACTCGTACAAACTAATGGCTCTTTACTGAAAATATTTATGTTAATACAAAAGTCTTTGATAATATTTTTCTTATAAATGAGACTTGGGAATATTTGCTTGTCAGTTTAGACACCCTTTTCGTTTAAATAGATTTGAAGTGATGATCGTCATTGAAACAATAAGAGCATTTGACACACGATATTTCAAATTGTTTTGAAGGTCTAAGTATCGAAGTGCTTTTTATTTTTCATTTAATAATATCAATTGTACTTCTGCTAATCTAAAGAAATGTTTTAACAATCATATTGATATTTATATATATTATCTGAGTCTATTCCTTCAATAATTGAAAATTATTCATTCGTAGCCGATAAAATCGATACAGTTTTTTTGAAAGTTGTGCTAGAAAATTCTAAGGGATGTTTAAATTTTTCGCTTCGCGAAAACGTGACTACTATGCGAACGTACTTGGCCTAAATTTACCTATGATTTTTTCCGTTTTTAGGGCAATTTCACTTCTATCTTCCTTTTAAAGAGCTTCATTATCGAACAGTCGTCACTAGCGTGACTGTCTCAGGTAGCGAAACCCTTAAGAGCTATCGGAACAGCTTCGATGTGGATGTGAGTGTGTGCGATTTGGGTGTAGACGAGCGTTGAAAGAAGATCAATATCTAGACCCACAGTCAGAGCCACAGCTACATATACCAACATCCACACCCCACACCCGCATCTGAATTCATACCAAAATGAGAATATTTTTTGCTCTTTTACTATCGAACCATGTCTGCAAAGAGACCTAATTAAAAAAAAAGACAGTCAATTTACGACCAATGTCGTCAAAACAAAAATTTAACTTTATGTGTGTTACGCTACACTGTCAGTAAGCAGAACAAGGTAAAAGTATTGCTTGCTTCTATTTTTACACGTGTATCGCAATATTTGCAACATCGCGTATGTAGTATATATTTTAGCATAAACCAAATATAAAATCTTTGATTTTATATCGAAAAGATTTACTATTGAATTTTTCACGTACTTCATTCAATCTTTATGTAAAATGGTAGAACTTAATACATTTATGGATCTTATAGTCTCACTGTGTAGAATATGTCTACTTACCGCTTATTTTTTGTCTCCTTCCATGATAAAAACAGGCACTAAAAATATTGCGTTACTTTTATTTTGATAGAATATCCAGTGCACATTCAGAACTATTTTTAAGAGTTTGATCGTAAGCTACTTTTATAGAATCGGTACGATCCGTCTGAGATGTCACGATGAAAACATGTCTCCTGATAGTATTCACCTTTTTACTTCCGCTGATTCATGTAAGGTCACATGTCACTTAGATTTCAAGTAGAAAGGCGAATCAGGTTTCTAAAATGTTATTAAAAGAAAACTCATTATAAATCAAGAGTGAGATTTCTACGATACGTTTTTTTGCTAAAAATAATCAAACGAAAAAATATTACCATCCTCAAATATAAATAAATCTTTTGCGGAAATAGTGTCTAACTGAAAGAATGACGGTTTTTTACTGGATGCTCAAAACGTCACTGTAAAAGACAAATGTTTAAACGCTTTCAGTGTATTTCCTCCGAAACTAAAGTATAAAACATGAAGTAGCTGCTGTAACATTGAAATGTCCTATCATGTCTGTCAGGATAAATAGATTCAGTTGGTACAATGTTCTCGCTATAAACTTCAATGGTAGTTTCCAACCGTGTTGTACAGTATCTCCACTGCGCTTCGATCTATCGGATTAATGTTGTTCTTGATGACATGGGAACGTTCTTTTTTTTTATTACAAGACTTTTATGAGACACTGCTTTGGACTATCATTATTGATTTTCATAAGCTAATTGTGATTTTTCTGGATCCTGAAAAAAACACTTTCTGTGAAGAATCTTCGGATAAGTAAAAGATTTTGAACCCAAACTTCACCCATTTGTACTAGATCATTTGACTATAATAATCTCTCAAGAAGTTGCTCATGTGTACAGCTCTAACAGTGATATTGAATTCTTAGTGAATTTCTTGACAAGGATTTCTCTTTCTCAATAAGAGCATCGTTTTAATTTTTTGACATGAAACTTTGTTCAAATCAAGACCTTAATTTTGTCTTTCTCGTATTCAAAAAAATTCACGAATTTTCAATATCATATCTCCACGACATCAATTTTTTTGAACACAAGATAAACGATCTGACATCTTGATGTAGCAAAGTTATAAGTTAAAAAGTTATAATGATGCTTTTCTTGAAAAATAGGAGTCCTTGATGTGAAAACTCAGTAAAAATTACAGATCGCGCTCAAAACTTTATATATCAATGAATCTATCACAAGTGCTTAGAGTTGGATACCCTTCTACTTCTGGTAGAATACAGACTTGAAAGCTGTTACATATCCGAAGATCGTCTGTAGAATATTTTTTAGTTGTCAGAAAAACCACAATGTTTCTATCAAACTTGATAATGATAGCTCAAAAAGCAATACTTTCCAAACCTACTGTAATGAATAAACATTGAAGTTTCACGTATCATCGAGAAAAATATTGGTCCGATTGATCAAAAGACGACGAAGTTAGTGAACTTCTTTTTTTTTAATATAGTAACTTTGGAGATATCCTGTACCATTTTGAGAAAAAGGTTCATAGAAGTTGGTAGAGGATTCAACGGTGTATCTTTTTAAAATAAATTAAAGACTTTATGTTCGATCTATACTAAGATACCGGATGAGGCATAAGGTATGGCTGAATTTTGTGGTCAACTAATACAGAATTTATTTTCTTACAAAAACTAAGAAGCTTATTTTTCAAACAACTTGTTTTAGGCACACAAAAATTAAAAGATGAACACCTATTCAATATGTTATCTTTGACCGTCAAAACAACCAAAAAACAAAAACTATTTCACGAAAATTTCAAATAAGCTATAAATTTCTATATCATTTGATGAAAAAAAATCTCTACAACATGATATTTTCGGACACATGCCAACGATTATTCCTTCATTTTGTTCAGCGTTAGATACCACATCTAACTCTTACCAATCTTATGTTCACATGGGTATTCAAAAAATAGTACCAAGTGTTAGTCGAAGCCTTTATGTCCTGAATAATAGTATCTAGAACATTGGAAAGGATCATTAGAACGTTCAGCATAAATTTCTCTCCCTCTCTCTCTATTCGTATGGAATATTTTACAGTAAGTATCTAGTATGATGGATAAATTCAAATGAACATATGTATATCTGCAGAAAATAGAAAGTCACATATAAGAAATTGAGTGTATGTTCATCTTTCTACTTTCGTATGAGAAAAAACCCGTTTCAAATGCGAACTCGTTAATTTTATAGAATAATAAATTCTGTATAGGATGAGCTTAGTATGAAAACTACACGATATTGCAAACATTATAGACCATTCGTTATATGTACTATGTGTTTCTCTTTTCATACATCAGTATTACATTGACGGTTCTGTTGAACATAAGATGGCTTCTGATCTTGGTGATACTAGTATGAGTTCAATTAGGAAAAAGCAATTTGACGATGTTCTTGTCGTGTGGTACATGAATCATCATTTTCCTAGAGTGTCAAAACAACGTTTGGATGAAGGTGATTATCGTCTATTGTTTTGTTTAAACGATGAAACATTGATACAAACATTGTCAACATCGAGTACAGATGATACAAAAATTCTACTTATATTACCAGCTTATCGAGCCAGTGAACTCTTGCCGATTGTACATGACAATGAACAGATCGTTGGCATCGATCTATTGTGTGTGCAAGCTGACGAAATAATTAATGATTATCAACATTTATTTGGCATCTATCCTAAATTACTTGGTGTTTACGAAAATCCTCCTAGTAATGTACCCATCATAGAACAGCTCAGAAATATATCGAAACAACCGTACATACCTATTCTATTCGATAGGGAATTACAATCGATACTCGATTTATCTAAATTCTATGATGAATTCAAAAGCAATCGTCTATTTCGAAGTATACAACTCGAAGATGGCAAAATCGATAACAACAAAGAGGCTTTTCTTCATATATGTCGATCAATTTGTGCACTCGATCCAATACAATTAAATCGTATCGATGAATTTGAGCAAAACTATCGACCAGAAGATGCAATTAAATGGTATTCAAAAGATTGTTTTACATTTAAAGTTATAAACGAACTTTTTCGAAATAATGAATTATTTCCTGATGCCAAACTTGGATATTATGTTTTTGATCTTTGTGTAAATTTAAAATTACTATGGTTAGAACAGCAACGACAAAATCTACCATTGTCATCCACAATATTACGTCTTTATCGTGGTCTGTTCGTACCTGATGTCGACATAGATCGAATTAAAGCTAGTGAAGGTAATTATATATCAATAAATGGATTTTTACTAACAACAAAATCGTATGAAATGGCCCGAATAATTGCTAGAAATGTTTTTTGTGAAATCGAAGTCAATCCACAATTAGATAATATTATTTTTGCCGACATATCAGCGTACAGTCGATTTGATGAACAAGACGTCTTGTTTAGTTTAGATACAACATTTTTCGTATCATCTATCTACTATGATGATGATGATAAGCTATGGAAAATCAAGTTAATTGGTGCAAGTGAAGAAGAATTAATTGACAATCAACTTGAATATCATTGTTTCACATTCGATGGTCAACAACAAGAATTTATTGGTGATCAATGGTTTGCATTCAGAAAATATGATAAATCCATTTCAAGCTATGAAAAATCTTTACTATTAATTACGGATGAGAGAAACAAGGCTGATATCTTCTATAAATTAGCAAAAACATATTCAACAAACAAACAATTTGCATTTGCATTGGACAATGCTCTTGACGCCTATAAAATATATATGAGTATTCATCCATCAAATCCACATATAATATTGGAACTTTTAAGATTGATCGCTATTTCATATGCATGTGTGGATAATTATGATTGTTCAATAGAATATCATATAAAATATCTTATACTAGCCGAATCATACGATACAAATTGGTGGCTTACAGCCTATTGTCCTGGTTCGCAACAAAATCTTAAATCGTTTCCCGGTGAGATACACACGTCACTTATCTATGGACATGCATTAACACATCTACTGCAAATTCTTACAAAAGTACAATTCAATAATGATATTTTAGCTAAAATACATCTTAATATTGCGATTCTATACGATCATATTAATCATTCTCAAAATCAAGGAAGTTTCAAACATTTCAAAATTGCCAAACAATTATTTGCTGCAGATAGCATAGAACTACGATATTCAATTTGGTATTTTGCATATGGACGATCAAAATCTTCAAAATCAATCACTGCAGTTGATTCTTATCGAAAACTATTAAAATTATTACACTTAGATAATAGTCAATTAATAATGATAGTTCATTATGCTATAGCAAGATGCTATTTTCAAAGTAACAAGTATAATCGTGCCCTTCATTATTTACATCATGCTTTAAAAATCAATGAAAAATATTCAACAAATGATGAACTTTGTGCCAAAATTCTCTACATTATTGGATGGACGCATTCATATTTCGATAGAATTGATTTAGCTCTAGAATTTTTAGAAAAGTCCTTATCGAAACATGACACATTGGTGAAAGTAAATCCGATAAATTATTACGATAATTTTCGTATTGCAAAAATAACAGAAACCATAAGTGAGTGTTATTTGAAGAAAGACGATGATGAAAATGCTCTAATATATAGTCAAATGTCATTAGAACAATATTTAAAAACTGCACCAGACTATTTAGAAAAACATGCATATCTTTATTTCCAATTAGCAGTTTTGTATGAACGAGCTGAAGGATTTCGATTATGCGTCGAATATTTTAAAACATCATTGTCAATTCGAGAACGTCTTATGGAGTATGCTGATGAGAACCTTGCAGCAGAGTACTGTCTTTTGTCCATGAAATATCAAATTTTAAATCAACTCGATTCAGCGATTGAATCATTATTGAAATCACTCGAATTATTGAAAACATATTCATCACCTTCATTACCATTCGACTCAGACATGATTATTGTTCAAAAAAGACTTGTCGCTTTGTACGATGAGATACTTGATTATCCATCAGCACTTGCATATTCATGCGCAATGCTTGATATTTTAGAAAAAATGAAACCACTGCCCAAAACACAGATTGCTTTAATACAGAAAAAGAACGGATGGTACTATTATCAGATCGGAGATCTCGTCAACGCTTTAATTTCCTGTCAAAAGTCATTCGCATTATTTCAAGAATGTTTTCCTTCATCGAATACGGATCAAATGAGTCCAGAATTATCGTATGTATTGACTAGTTTGGGACAAATTTATTTGAAATTAGGAGATCGATCAAAGGCTTTAGATTACTGTCAAAAGTCTCTTCAAACACTTGAACATGAAGATGAAACTGGTGAATATATTAAATCATTCGCAGATAATTACGAACTATTAGCTGATATCTTCATTCATTACGGGCAGCAAACATTGAGTTTCGATTATTATTTAAAATCAATAAATTTATTCCGACAAATACATGGTACTAAAAAAGATCATTCCGATATACAACGCGTTTTAAGTTCATTGAATAATATCAACGAAATTGAATTTTAAAGTTAAGAATTTTTGTATCAAAACCAGATGCAAGTGAACTTCTTTTTTGTATGGAACAATAATAGTATCACTTACTCAATCTACAAAGTGATTTTTTTGTTAGAATTTTTTTTTCTCAAAAATTGTTTTATTTAGCCTTTGCATCACTCTGCGCATAATAAAAGCTGAGTTTTGATTTTCTTTTCAGGTATTGATTTACGAAAGGATTCTTTTAAGTCAACAGAATTGTAAGTGATTATTTTATAGAGATGAACGAGACCGGACTCAATAATGAAAAACATTATTTCGATGTCAATATTGGCTTTCCAAAACAAGACTCATTACCGTTGTCTATTTTTCTTTAGATTTGGAATTATCTAATTAGACAGCCATAATCACTAGAAAATTCTTTGCAAAGCAAAATCACAGGGTGTGAGTGAGGGTGTGAGTGTTCTCTTTCTTTACATTCACACCCTGCTCGTATTTGAAGAAGAATTTAAAAATTCGGGCTTTGTTAAGTTTTAGTCGCAAATGTTGGATGTATCTTGACACAAATATGAGATCTGTATCATTAAACTTGGAAGAGAACTCTGAGACGCACGAAGATCTACTTTTGGGCGCTTGATATAGGGATAATTCTTAGAGAACTCAATATGTCGGGTTGAAATTTTTACTGTAAGCTCTCTAGGCATGCACTCATAATTCCTGGCGTTTTCAACCAGATCGATTGTTCTAAGACGAAAAGAGATTTTTGACAGAGGAAGGCAGCTTAAATAAACCGGTTAATTAATAACTGAAAATGAACAACACTTGAATATATTGCTTTAAAAAAAGAAATTAAAAACAATTTGATTCAGACATCTTTCAAATCAATCCCATTTTCAAAAGCGTTTGACTGATAAACAAGAGAAAAAATTAAAAACAATCATAGAATCTCATCTTGATGTTAGTCGTGTTTTAAAGAAAGCATTTCGAACAAACGATTTTTTTTTCGAACGTTTCATTTTTGAAAATAATTAAAACAAGATATCGAAATGCACACTACTAATGAAAATAATTCATATCAGAGAAAACTGATTTGGAAGAAAATTTGATATTTTAGAGGGCTTCCCAAATCATGTGATCGATGAAGGATTCCAATGTATCATATTTGATCACAAACGATGAGACAGGAGGGTCCAAACGGGCAAAAACAAGATCATGTGCTTTTCCAATGATCTCCAGCGAATTCTATGTTGGTCGTTCTATGTTAATAGTTCAACGATGATTAAAAAAATATGTTCGTGATGTATTAGTTGAATCAGATGAGATTTTACATGTTAAATATCAACTGATCTATACTGTGGGTGGTCAACAACAAGTTGACGGAGGTGCAGAACATTGGAAAACTATTCAAAGAATTCTTGAATTAGTTAAAAACTATGCTGCCGATATTTCAAAATGTTTTGACGAAAATGTTTGTTATGAACCGTCTGAACCAAAAAGTGCAAAATCCACAGTTTCGTTTACAATCACATGAGCCCTTTCCACTACTCTGTCAACAAATTGCAAATAATAGAATCAATAGTAGAAATTATCGTTACATCGATAAACCTATCATTTTCTCATTTATTTCAGAACCACAGTCACCAGTTGAGCATCTCCTTGATAAATTTCCACCAATTGGTATTCAATTATTTCTCATTGTTCGTGGTTCATTATCAACAGAAGTTTTGTTAGTTGCTTTTAAAAAACGATATCGAGTTAATTACGGTATCAATCCAAGTCTTTCTTTTAATCGTTTAATGGCTGTATGATTGCGTGCAAAGGATGTTGTTGCTGACAGAACTGAATTTGGCCATCCAGATGTTGCCTTAGTATTAACACAACTTTCATATTACTATTCAGATTTAAATAATTCACTATTATCTCAATGTTTCAATCTTTTAAATGGCGAAGAACCTGATCCTGCATCGATTTATAATCAATGGATTTTAAATGAAGATGAAAAAGATATACTAAAAAGTATCAAACAATGGAATAGAGTTAATTTAAAAGATTATTAACAACGAATTGATTATCTCTTTCCGACTTTTCGATACAATATGTTAGTTATTAATTATTTTCTTGATTATTTTGTATTTTCTAGAGAAGCAAAACAATTTCAATATAAATTAGTTGCCTCTATTTGAGATCTATCTTCATCTTTACGATCAAAAATAATCACTGGATTTAGTGAAACTAATGATACATAATTATTGCTTTCCGTTCATATTCGTCAATATGATTTACCAGAACTTCAAAAATAGATGCAATTGTTGTCAATAATTTATTAAAAAATGAAAATGAAAATTATCAATTTTTACTAATCAATGTTACATCAGAAAATATTTTAAAACAAATTGTAGATTACAAAGAAACTATTCATGTTATTTTAGATGTTGGAGCATTATTCATCGATGGAACCAATCGAGATATTGCCATTCAATGGCTGAATCTATTATCAGATAAAAATACGATCGATTTATATGTTGTTTACTTTGATTCAGATTCAATCGTTGTTTGTGATCGTCAATTGTATCATTATCCATTTGTAACATCTCCAGCGAGTGAACGATTAGATCGTTGTATATTTTATTTATATAAAATTCATGCTCGAAGAACTGATTTTAAATTCTCTATGGGATTCAAAGCTGCTGTAACATTAGAAAATGGTTTAACAAAAGATCGTTTTATTCAAGCAGGTATGAGAATGAGAAAATTACGTAATAGTCATTCTCTAACATTCTGGAGTTCATATGAAGTTCACGAACAAATCAAAACATTAAAAACAAAATCTCCGAATAAAAATGACTTCATCAAATTGATTGATATTCTTCGTTGGGTCTATAAAAATACTCAACAATCAACTTGGGAAGGTTTACATCATTGGGCTATATAAAGTTAAAGTTTTCAAAGAAAAAATTCTGCATTTCAACATATTAATTGGAATGATGATCAACAAATATTTACTGACGTACTGATGGAACGTTTAGCTAAAGAATATTCAGAACCTGGAATAATTGAACTCATAAGTATGTATGAAGCTTCGAAAAGACTGCAAACATTATTCGAAATTCATCGTAATTGATATGAACAAATTCATCATCATTTGTCGAAAGAAATTTAAGATGCAGTATTAAAACGATTACAAGATTATGGTGGAGCAAAACAACGGTTATCACAGCTATTAGATGAATAACAGCAAAGAGAATTACAATAAGAATTAGAAGAGGAACGTCAACTTGAACGTCCACCACCTGTTCAACCATGTAAACCTATACTTCACGAAGAAATTAAACAATTGTGTAATATACAGAGTGCTATGATGAATCTAGCATAATATCCAAACGTATTTCGTTATTTGCCATATGCCTTCACTGACACAATATTTGTCAATGATTATCAAACTAACAATTGACAAGAAAATTTTTGGATTTTCACTGAATCTCAACGTGTAATTGTAAGCAAAGAAGAAGCATTAAATCCATTTTTACGTCCTCCATGATGGATTATTATCTACCGCAACCAGCAATTAATTTTTCTTAGTGCTTTAGAGGTAAATTGATTGATAGGCTGTTTAAACTTGCTTTATCACAAACGAGAATTGAACTACCCACCAATTACGACATTACGCATATTATTACCTAATATTAAGCGACTTCAAACAATTTTTGTCAATCCACCAACTCTCACGATTCCTCCCTTAATTGAACATTCGAGTGATGCTTTTCCTTTTCTCCTATCATTCGACTGGTTGGTTCAGTTATTTATATTTAATGGTACACTTTATTTTGAAACGATGGACGAGCAAATAGCTTATTGTCCATGTTTAAGTGTATGTCCGAAACTTCAAACAATGGAGGAAGAAGAAGCATTTAAAAAAGATTGGATTGCTGTCGACGGTTTTGCCAGTAATACTGAACGTCGTCATCATATAAAAATGCACAATGTTCGAGTTCATTGCAATCTACTAGCATTGGCCAAACAAATAATCGACAATCGAAATAATTCACATGCATCCATGTCATCTCATGTTGGTAATATTATTCTCAAGTCACTCAAGCTCATTCAATCCTGCGAAGATTGAATTTACTAGAAAGATTTTTAATTCAAACACAAATATTTTTTTCATAATTTAAATTAAATCTCACAAAAAAAAGAATTTAATAAAGATTAAGGGTGTGGGTGTGAGTGTGCATGTGGATGTGGGTATGAGTGAAACTCATCATCCACACCCACATCCACCCATACCATTGAGGGGGAGTCGACTCTTTTTCTTTAAAATGTTTTTTGTTTTTTTTATAAATTATGAAAATTTTCAAAGAATATTTCGGAATTTTTCTAAGTTTCTTTAATGTTTTTGTGAATCATCGAGAAAAAAAAAACTTTTGAAGATTAATGATGAACCTCGATCTNATGTTTATTTTTCAGCTAGAAAATACTCCGTTGAATTGGAAGTCAGGTGAGGTGTGGGTGTTGGATGAAGAGAGAAATATATTCACATCTACACCCACACAACGGCACATCCATTTAATTGAATGCTTATAATGATAACAATATTAAGTTAAGAAAACAAATTACGAAAATGAAAAATAACAAGTGAATAGCAACAATAAAAATGAACAATAAGGCGTGAGTGTCGGAGAAGAGAAGAGCACACGAAGAAAAATAGTGTTTCAATCAGTTCTCTACAGAGGCAAAACCAAATGACCTGAAATTTTCAGTGTGAGTATGGTTCGAGTAGAGCTTTTGTTTGAAATATTAAATCGAAAATCAAATTTTTTTCTCCGACAGCCACTAGGGTCAGTTGGGTGGTTCTGTGGCGGATTCTCTCTCTTCAAGTTTTGGTACATGTCCGATCTTTGCTTGAGTGATTCTTTATTCATATCAAATGATGCAAACACAGTCAAAACTCCAATAAAACCTAAGAAAAGAGTTTACTCGTGTATGAGTTGGTCTCTCAAAGTAACTACTAGGGTTCCAGATACATGATCCATTTTGATGACTTTTCGTTCAACTAATTTTTTCAACAATTTTCGATTTCTTTCCAATTGTATTGCATCGATGAAATTTTCACCGTTCAAATTTCGCGTTAAAAGATTGCATCCCATTTGAAGTAACGATTCAATGGTTCGATGTCGAGAATCACCAACTTTGAGACAAACGTAGAGTAGTGGATCATTTCCATCATCGTCTAATTGAGTCAGGAGTGACAATGATGATTTCAATAATTTTTCAAGTAATTTCCGTTCCCTCTTTTGTAACAAAATAAACATTAAATCTTTGTTAGTAAACTAGAGTCCCAATGGTTTCTCATCCAAGAGCATTGCAAATAATTGTCTTCCCGCTTTGCTTGCTGTCATCATATCCACATTTTTACGGTTATCACTGGGCTTATTAAAAAAATCTCGTACTAATTCATTTTGGCGATAAATAAATAGAATGACATCAATTCGATCTTTTTCGATCAAACGAATGACAGTTTCTTCAAACATCCTAGTATAACGTTCGTTCCATGGTGTCGATAGTTGTAAGCCATATTCGTCAAGTACAATTTTCAATATTTCCAGTTGGCTTGTTTGAACAAAAATTTCACTATCAGCCATTGGTTCGGACAAAGAAACCAGGTTTAACAGATGTAGCATACTCTTTTGAGCCCAATCTTCCTCATGAAGCACGTGGTTTTGGCACTGTATAGAAAAGAGAAGCAAATTTATCATTGCTTGATGACACTCCATATCAATACAACTACAGGTAGACTACTTAGAACGACAGGAATATCGTGATCAGTATAAAGGATATAAAAGAGAAAATAGATAGTAATAAACGGTATCACCACCGTTGCTACTGTAATATGTATCGTTTAAAAGATGAGGATTCGAACTAATCAATGCTTTGAACATTTCAATCATCGAGTCGACAAATAGTCGCGTTTCAGGCTGAACATGGTTGAAGTGATATAGTAATAATTCATTCACAGCTGTTGCAAGTGCAAACGTGCCCATTTCATATTCGTCACATTCAAGGCGAGCGCCTTTAGTCAGAACAACTGATTCAATTCGTTTCATGGAGCTGATCGTGCTTGATTTGCTATGCAAATTGTCGAATGCTGCCTTAACTTCATCATCTAAATAAAAAATCACGTCGTTGCTGAGATGCTTACGTATGGATTGAATATTTCCCATATGTAATTGAAGTTGACGTTCCAATCGAGTGTACGTCTCTCTCACATGAAAGGCGATTAGCAAATCAAGACATTGACGAAGTTGTTTTGCATTTACTGTTGTTTGCATGGAGGATAGTTGTTGGGATACATTTTGAAACACTGTAGAATTGTAATAACAATGAATCATTTCATCATGTGCATCAATGAGCAAGAAATCAGCAAACAAATGGAAACGATGATCGACAAGAATGTTATTCAGGCGTTGATTTAAGCCTTGAAATGTTCGAAATATGGTACAAACGTCGCCCGAATATCTGATAATAATCATTAAAATTTCATCAAGCAGTGTTTCAAAGACAGATGACATGTTGTGTCTGTTCTCAATGCCGAAATGTGTGTAATGAATAATCGATTTTTTTTTCTGTTTTGCCTTTCATTTTTACTTTTTCTCTCCTTTCGTTACCGTGCAACGACTCTCCATCCTTGCGTACTTGCACAATCGAAGGTGAACACTGGTACGATTCTCTTTAGTTTAAACAAGTGTCGCCTTGTACGGTCCGAATTCCGTCGCGTTCATTACACTGTAACGTCCTGGTTCTTTCACTACCACAAAGTGCTCAAAATTTTACGTTAAGCCACCCTATTTGAAGTTCACTCGAACTGATTGTAGGCATGCTTCAAGGTGTGGGTACGGGTCAATAGTGAAATCACACCTACACCCACACCCTCCTTACGTCATATTTGAAAGTATAAAGGTATTCACTTGACTTTGAATCGTTTTTATTGATTTCATGAAATAGTTGAGTCTCGGAAAAGACAATAGCTAAAAGGTGTTTCGATTCTAAGCAAAGCTGACTTGCGGCGATACTTGTAAGTGAAATAAAACACAAAGACAATGTGAGCCACTTTCCAAACCTATTTCTCTACTGTAGATCAAAAACAACCAATTGTATCTCTAAATCACAATGTTCAAATGGTCTTCGACCGTCATTTGTCACAAACGTTGGCAAATAGACTGACGTAAACTCTTTTCCATTCAGTTTTTTTGTGTACATATGGTATGTAGCTGGATTTGCCGGTTCAACGATTGCGTGTTTAAATCCACGTTGGCCGCAAAGCGCAAGCAGAATCTGGTGAAGTTTTGTGCCAAGTCCTGTGAAACGTAAGATACAGTTGCAGAGTAGCAGGCTTGTCTCGAAACCTTTTGTAAAGAAAATCATGATTCCTTCGAATGCTCACCTTTTCCACTACAATTTTGACGAACACCAGCCATTATTATCTGTACCAAATCATTTTCTTTCAGTTCGCCATATTGTTTCATAAAACGTCGTTCCACTTCGTTAAATACTTCCATATCTTTGGACAGTTCCAACTCTTCAAACTTCTGTTCTTTTAGTTTGTGAGCATCGCCAGCTTGAACAAGACCGTGAATTTCCTTCGTCTGTTTGTGTATTGCTACGATGGAGAGTTGTTCGTTCAGAACGGCTTTTGAGAATGCGAGTGCTTGGGAGTACAATTGTTCGTAGGTAGTTTTCAAGTAGACTTCGAGTGGGTTGTATTTGGTGAAGACGTCAGCAAGAAGTCTAGTCGATTCTTCGAGGTGTTTTTCCTGCAAGATTTCATATGTGTAGGTTTTATCTACCTCAAGGACGTGAGACATGACTATAATAGTCGTTAGAAAAGAGTAAAGCAAATTGATGAAGAGAAAAATGATTTCTTATTGCACAAGACTTGTTGTTATTACTTGTGAGTCATGAAATAGAGAACGAAAAGAAAATAATATGTTTCCTTTTCTGAAGGAAAGAGTCTTCCAAATAAAAAATGTTTCTCTGCCTTGGGATCAATCAGAACGCAGCATTTTGTCATTCATGGACTATAGCACTTCGATTGAAACAAAACTTATGCCTTGGATTTTTTAAGAGCGTAAGTTCAAATTTGATGTCAGACTTGGTACATCTTCATTTTAATCACAAAAAAGAATAATTGTAGTTTGAAAAGTGGCCAATCATATTAATGCAACTTAGATAATAATAAAAAGAAGTGATTAATAGTTGGCTATCACAGATGACAGTAGAGAATGATGAAAAAAATGATTATTAATAGCTGGCATTGAATACGAGCTGTTGATTAATCTCGTAGACTTACTTTATGATAAAAGATGATATAATAAAAAGAAATGAGAGAACACAGTTCTGATCATTTGTAGCTGAAAATATCGAATGCAGTATAAAAGTTACTGTTTTTTTTGGTTTAAGTTCTATTTTATTGTAACACTCGTAAGTGCTTACAAAAAAGAGAGAGAAGGAAGGAAACGCAGAAGAGAAATGACTAAGGAGCAGGGAGAAAGAAAATGGAAAACAAGGTATAGAACAAGAGACAGAAAAAGTAATGGTGAATAATACAGCTACAACAACAAATCCTGAACAAGATGATGTACACGTCATCTTCAATCAATTTGGTATGTAACGTTTAACGTAATTTTCAAGTGAGTCTTCATGAGTAAATGAAAGGAATTCTGTTGCTTTCTTAGTACTACTTTGAGCAGTAACTTGCCGCATTTCAACCATTTCAACTTACATAATGATTTATTAATGTTCTCTAGATATCTGTTTACCGTTGGCTTGAACAACAGTTTACTAGTCCACATAAATCCAAGATATTTAAAGGAGTTAACTATCTTGATCTTTTGGTTTAACATATAAATATCAATCAGTGGGATTGTAATTTGGGAATGGAAAATATGTGCTACTGTTTTACTTATATTAATTGTTTGTTTTCAGCAGTGTGAGTAGTTTGCTGTTTGGTGGCATATTTTACTACCTTCAATTTCTAAGTACTTAACTAGGGATGTAAACGATTTTTGAATCTGTCGTTACTTTTGTCTAACAATGCTTCTGAGTCGAGAAAATTATTCGGAAAACAAAGGTTTTTTGAAAAATCCATATCTCACTCTGAAAGCATTTATGCATTTATAGTAGTCACATAAAAATTTGATTGTTATCTGAGCTGTGCTAAAATGGGCGTCCTCGCTTTAATGAAGACATCTTTCTGCAACATTTCACTGGAGAAAACAAAGCTATTTTGTTTTTATACACTGATAGAACACAAATTCCTCTTTTTCGCAATTTGAACAATTTATTTATAAAGTCTTTCTATCTTCTGTGCAAAAAAACGAACTTTGCTTCTCATGTCACTCATATTGCTGAAAAGTGCCCTCTTTTATAACTCAGTTTTTTCCACAAATTCAAATAGAAGAAACAAAATATTTTGCATAATTTAATTTGCTATGACTCAAAGTATATCCTACACTATTCAAGCTACCAAAAATCTCACTTTCATTTTTTTTCATCTAGTATTGACGTTGTTGTCCACTGCGTTCTTGTCGGTTACTGCAATCTCTTTACAGTATTTCATTTTGTAAAAGAACATACTAATTCATCTCTTCTCTCAAATAAAACATGTGAAATCCACATGTTGATCTTCCAGAGCTCCATTGACAAGCTTTCTCTATACGTCATGTATTGCTTTTACTTCTTTTTATATGTATATTCATAAAATATTCGCATATGTCATCAGAGATACTGTTTTATTTAGTAATCAGAGGCGGTGATTGTATCTTGACAGTTGCAAACTGGATGAACATTTTGATCGACATAATGAGGATCAGTGTTGTTTTCAAGGCGAAGAATTTGAAAAATGCCTATCGTATGTAAAGTTTCAAGAATACACCCCTGGGCAAAAGTCTCCCCCCCCCCCCCCACCTCTTTTTTCGGCAAGGTTTTCTCTACTACTATAAGGACCAAACATGGGGTTGTTCGGGCCGATTAGGGGTTATTCGGGTGCTCTTTGTTTTGGCCTAAATAACACGATTTTTTTCTTTAC